CGTCACACCAAGACTGTAGCAGACCATAGTCCATTAAGGATGAGCCACTGCTTAGCGTCCCCTTCAAAGAGGTAGTTTAGGCTCTCGAGCTGGACATCCTCAGTATGAAACGCGGCAATGGTATTCCTGTAGCCGACGTAGAACATCCCCACCGTGATGCCAATCATGACGTAGGCAAACTGAAAAAGGTACCTGAGATTGTCAACAAAGAGATGTCCTACACTCTTGCTCCCCTTTTTGCCCATTCCCGCAGTTTTGCCCTCTGAATCAGATGCATACCACGTTGCCTGTGGTAATCCATAATCCCCCCCTTGCTCTCCAATTTTCTGGTAAAATTTCAAGCCGTCCTCTACTGCTTCAGCAAGCGACTCAGCACTATCCAGCCCAGTGTCGTGTTGCTCTTGATAGTGCTTGAGCGACTCTTGCCGCACCTTGCCCTTCTGCAGGAACCTGAGCTGGCTGTACTCCTCGCTAAAAGTTATTTTTTGGGCTTGCAAATCGAGCTGTGTGGTAGGGTTTGGTTTTTCAAGCACACAGTATGTGAATTTTAGCAGCCCTCCCCCATAAGGGGCTACCAGAGGAATGAATATGTCGTTGCAGAGTCTGTCAAAGCCGCCTGCAATCGCAATGGCAGCAGCACTGACCTCGATCCTGGGGACCTCTCCGTCCCAACCCATTGCGTTTGAAGGCGGCGACTGTTGCTCCCCCTCTTTCCTTAGCGGTTGTATAGCTATGAGTATCTTCATGAATCTGGACGGGACCCTCGGTCTGGCAGATGAAGGCCATGTGTTCGTACTTGGGGTTGCGTCTCGGTTACGTAACCAGTCCGCAAGTCGCATGCCGCGGCGAAACATGAGGTGCCGAATCCTGGGGTTTACGGCGAATCTGACCCTACTGCCGGAATATTCGGTGCCCCAGTTGTTGCGAATGACTTGCATGAAAATAACAATCTAGTACTTAAGGCTGATTAGCCTTAAGTACCCTCCGGAAGTCTTCGGTTTCTAGGGCCTAGTGACAGGGTTCGAGTCGCCCCTCTTAAATGGCTATCGATTTGACGTGGCACTACCCGGGTGGGCCGAACTGTCGTCTGGAGGCTGGGGTTGTGCCCCCTTAATCTACAAAGAGCTCCCTGCCACGTGGCAGATAAGGACGAGCACGCGTTCAGACAACCGAGGCATAATTGATTATCCGAGCAACTCCAGGAACCTTGATATGATCTTAAAAGTGTTTCGACCTCTTCACTGGTGTAAGAGGTATTATTGAAGTTCGAACCGGCTTGTGAGATTAGTCTGTTGTCTCAGCATATTGAAAACGCGGTCCATGCACGATCTTTTCACACAGATTCGTTTCGAGAAATCGACGCCTCCCGAACAATTCAACTGGTCGGTCAATGCAAGGTTCATCGAATGGCTGATGGGACATCGTCCGGTTTCGACCAAAACTACGTAAACCTTAGGTCACACCCCGACTACCACTTCCAAACTTCTCCATACCACATATATCTCCCCTTTGCCGTCAGTGACTGGGATAGTTGTACGTCATCATGTTATTATTCATGTGTAAATGTATTCACAAGATTTGTAGCAATAGAATCCTTTCAATTAGAATTGCAGAAATAGCAAGTCTCTAATGTCGGAAGTCCATATGCTACGTCTACATGCTGTCCTAATTGTGTGGTTATCTACTCTACTCAAATCCGCGTTGTAAGCGGTTATCAGTAAGGGCAGAAGAATCATCAGGTTCTCGAGCGTCGAGAACCACCCGATCGTGGTGAAGCGGTTGAGGAAGCTGTTCACGCTCTCGCAAGCGCTCGTGTTCACGTGGGTCAGCAGACCGTAGTAATGACTGTTGTTCGTGGGGCCGCAGAGATGGATCTCTCCCTCGGCCTTGCCGTAATGGAACTTGTCGATGACGAACCGTACGTTCGAAAAGAACGTGGGCTCCCTCCTGAAGCAGTAGTTCTGATCGGAGCAGGAACAGTCGTTGATGAGCACTCGCGGCAGCTCCTCCCGGTTGAAGCGGGTGTACAGCACCGTGAACGGATCCCTCGGGCTCTCTCCCCGCAGCATGATGTGGATGCCGTAGAGTATTCGATGTGGGCAGCACCACGCGTAGAGTCCGCGGGTGTGAGGCAGCTTGCTCGGCTTCGCGGATTCGTGCCCCGCACACCGAGCCTCGGCCGTGTTGGACTTTCCGCTGTCCGTCTCGAACTCCGCGTAAAAAGGCAGCGGCCGCTTCTTCTCCCAAAAGGGGTACCAGCACAGGTCCTCCCCATCCGAAGTGAAGTCGTCCAGCGCCGGCCCCGTCTCCCCCACATTCTCCCTGAGCAATCCCCGCTCGGCCTCGCCCAGAAGCTCCGCGGTGTCGC